TTTCCCGCAACCGGCTGGAGTCCATATGCGGCCTCGAGCGACTACTGAATCTCGAGCGCGTTGACCTCCGCCACAATGTCATCGAAGAGAGTGCAGAAATTGGGCGCTTGGCCACGCTGCCGAACATTGCAGAGGTCTGGGTCGAGGGCAATCCCCTGGCAGAGATCGAGGAGGGCTATCGCATACGGTGCTTCGACTACTTCTGGAAAGAGAAGAAGAACATACTCCTGGACGGCTCGCCGCCAGGCTTCTACGAGAAACGCTATCTCACATCTCCCCCGCCCGAGCAGATGACGTCCTCCCGACCGCTCTCCGTAGCCCAGTCTCCCCCAGTCGTGCCCGTCGGCAGCCCCTCCAAGTTGAATCCGTCGTCGACACCTCGAGGCAGCCCCCTGCACTCAACACCCACCGGTTCTCCGGCGTCACATCCCGCCTCCCCGCATCTTGCGGCAGCGGCGCGCGGGCGGAAGAAGAAGAACAAGCGAATAGTCGACTTGGACGGGCGCGAGGGCAGCGAAGCGGGGAGCACGAGGAGCGCTTCCGGTCTCAATGGCGCGTCGCGGGCAACCAGCCCAGCGAAGCACGCTGTACGAGCCGAGCAGCAAGCCCCATTTGCCCTAGCTACGCAGGCACCCTCGCGGCCAGCTCCACAGTCTCCGTCGCCTGCAGCTTTCGCCGCAAAGCCCACGACCATTGTGAAACCGAAGTCGCGGCACAGCCGGCACATGACGGAGTTTGCGCCCTCGACGAACTCGGAGCTCGCAGACGCGGCCGAGGCATTCGCGCCCTCCTCGCACGGATCCCTGCGCAAGTCGTCGACGGTCGCCCGCTCGGCCGCGCGGCGCGCACGCGTTTCCGCTTCGGTCTACGAGCCGAGCAAGGAAGACGCGAGCGAGAGCCAGTTCCGGGAGGCGGACGCGTTCCGCGCGCGTATCGAGGCCTTGCGGGCGGACATGGGCGAGGGGTGGCTAAAGGTGTTCAACCAATCGCAGCTGGCCTCGCCGCGCGCGGTGCAGCCGTCGTCCTAATAGCCGACGCGCGGCACGTTCTGGGTTTGTTTGGGACCATGTTTTCATTTTGTCGATACCACATGCACTCGGGATGGTTTGTACTCGTGCTAGAGATATATGTACTGCCATTTAATGCTCGCGCACACGGCCGCGCGGGGCAAGGACGGAAAACACGCGCGGGGGAAATGGTCTGATCAGAGGTGGCCGGGGTCCGTCCCGAGGACGAATGGCGCTTATTCAGGCAGAGTGACAGCGTCACGGGGAGGCGGAGACTGGCCTTGGACGCGGTGTGCGCTCTCTCGTTGACTCTCTCCCGTTCTCGCTCGCTCTCCCACCTCCCGTCGTTCATTACCTTCTGCAATCCGCTGTCCGCCATGGGTGCCAATCTCTCAAAGGCGTTGGGTGCGTCCTTCTCCCCGTATCTCGCCACGCCGCGCCACGGTTGTCAGGCTCTGTGCGAGCGACCTCCATGCTGATGAGGGGCCTTTCTCGGCGCGACAGGGAAGATTTTTGGGAACAAGGAGATGCGGTTGCTGATGCTAGGGCTTGACGCGGCAGGCAAGACTAGTGAGTGTGCCACGCAGCTTTGTCGCCGGCGCAAGCGGGTGCGATGCTCACGGACGCGCTCTATCACCAGCGATCCTATACAAGCTCAAGCTGAACCAGTCCGTCACGACCATTCCGACTGGTGCGTTTACCTTCGTTCTGAAGTAGGGCGTTAGGAGCGCGGCACGCTGACGGTTTCGCCGCGGCACACAGTCGGCTTTAACGTGGAGACGGTGACATACAAGAATGTCAAGTTCAACGTCTGGGATGTCGGTGGCCAGGACAAGATTCGACCTCTCTGGAGGCATTACTACACTGGCACCCAAGGTCTCGTCTTCGTCGTTGACAGCCAAGACCGCGAGCGTATAGACGAGGCGAAGCAGGAGCTGCACCGTATATTGAGTGACCGCGAAATGAAGGATTGTTTGTTGTTGGTGTTCGCGAACAAGCAGGATCTGCCTGGAGGTGCGTATGTGTTGTGCTCCTCATTTTCCCATCGTTGACCCGCTGGGCCGGATAGCGATGTCGCCGGCGGAGGTCACCGAGAAATTGGGTCTCCACCGCATGCGTGACAGGTCTTGGTATGTCCACCCAAGGTATGTTGACCAAACTCTCACTGTCCCGGGAGTCAATCTCACGCTCGGCTCAGTTGTGCGACGACGGGAGAAGGTCTGTTCGAGGGTCTTCAGTGGCTCTCGCAGAACGTGAAGAAGCGTCAGCAGTAAACTTGCTATCGTCCTCTTTAGCTCCCGGAAAATTGGTTGGGATTCCCTTTCAGTCTACACTATACCCCGACACGTCCCCGGTGATCTCGACTATGTAACGGCCCGCATGACGCACGATCGCTCGCACGACGGACAGCCAGTCCACACGTTTCCTGCTCTCGCCCCCTCCTGTTAGCTGCCCCCCTACTTACAGTTTCTTCCTCTCCTCCTTGTCCACGTGTTACCCCCTTCACCCGATGATACACCTATGTATTCGCAGTTTAATGGATGGGCCCGCGCCCGTTTCGCCTTCTGGTTTGCCGTCTTGCGTCTTGCATTGTTACCGCTGCGCTCGCTACCACCTTCCTGTCCTTTTTGCAATTCATCGGAGCTTGGGGTCATACATGCGTGCCAACTCAGCCTGACTCCAAGTCGGCAGCACGATTTTTGAGGGTTGGTGCCCAGTTGTGGACAAGGAGTTTGCGTTGCCACACAAGCATGCGTCTAAGATGTTGCCCGGGTGGCATAATAGTATGTGCATGATTTGCGGTGTGACTGTGTTTTGGCGGCCAGAACGTTGCTCAGGATGACGCCTTCGCTGCGACGCCCGCCGCCGACTCTTCATAAGGCTCACTGGAGCACGTCGCGATGCATCAAGTAATTCTCAGCACACCCCGGGTGTCTTCCGAGTCCGTCCGTCTGCAGAAGCCCTTCTCTCCTTCCCACCACCATGCAGTCCATCTCTGCGGCCTTCAGAGCGAGGCCGCTCGCACGCGCCTTCACCTCCCGCCCCGTCGATGGCTTCGTCGGCGCCGTTGGCAACACACCTCTCGTCAGTTTCACTCGATGGTCGATCCGTGTGGCCTCAGCTTGGGATGGTCCTAATCCGCTTCCGTGACCGCAGATTCGCCTCAAAAAGCTCTCGGAGCAGACGGGGTGCAACATTGTCGCCAAGAGCGAGCTTCAGAACCCAGGAGGTAGCGTCAAGGACCGTGCCGCGCTCGGTGTCGTGACGGACGCGGAGAAGCGAGGTCTGTGAGTGTCTAGGTTCTGTCAGCTGCGTGCGGTCCGCGGTGCTTATCACTCTGCCTCCAGACTGAAGCCAGGCGGTACGGTCGTAGAGGGCACCGCAGGAAACACCGGCATCGGCCTCGCCCACGTCTGCAGGGCGCGGGGATACCGCTGTGTGATCTTCATGCCGAACACGCAGGTACGCCCCTCCGCCAGACCGTCCCACTCGTGAGCACCCGCCCACCTGCAGCGCGCGCGCCGGCGCACAGAGCCAGGAGAAGATCGACCTCCTGCGCATGCTCGGCGCGGAGGTGCACCCCGTGCCCGCGGTCGCGTACGAGCACCCGCAGAACTACAACCACCAGGCGCGGGACTTTGCGAAGACGCTCCCGAACGCGATCTGGACGGACCAATTTGACAACACCGCGAACGCGGACGCGCACTATCGCACGACCGGCCCCGAGATCTGGGAGCAGACGGAGGGCAAGGTCGACGCGTTCATCTGCGCGACGGGCACGGGCGGCACGCTGGCGGGCATCGGCCGCGCGCTGAAGGAGAGGAGCGACGGGAAGACGCAGGTGTGGCTGGCGGACCCGCCCGGCAGTGTGCTCTACAGCTACATCAGCAGCGGAGGGAAGTTGACGGAGCGCAGCGGGGGTTCCATCACGGAAGGTGCGTATCGTTTGTCCTGGAGCGCGTTTTTCTGGTAGCTGAGCGTAGCGCAGGCATCGGCCAGGGTCGCATCACGAACAACCTGGGCACCTTTGTGAAGAGCATTGACGGCGCACTAAGCATTCCGGACGAGAAGTCAATCGCGATGCTGTACGACCTGCTCGATACCGAGGGCCTCTACCTCGGTGCAAGCTCCGCCCTCAACGTTGTCGCTGTTTTTGAACTCGCAAAGAAGCTCGGCCCAGGTTTGACTTCTATTCGTGTCAAAAGTCTGGCATCTCTTACAACTCGCACCAGGCAAAACGATCGCCACCATCCTCTGCGATGGTGCGTATCGCTATCAGAGCCGTCTCTTCTCCAAGAAGTGGCTGCAAGCGAAGGGTCTCGAATCGGCTATCCCAGAACACTTGCGCAAGTATGCTGTACTAGACTGATGCATCGTTATACGTGGTTTCGACGTACACGGATTCCCTCTGCCACTGATAGCGACCGAATTTATGTGCGAAGGAACCTTGAAGACCATCCCGACATGAGGACCTAAGCTTTCAACCGATATACATGTTACTAAACCATGGACGTTTAAACCCCACCAGTGCCCATTATGCCCGTTGTGGTTGCCTCGTGCGTGATTGATTTGTGAACACCCTCATGGACGCTATCCACTATGGCTTCCGCACCTGCTAATATTTCTCTGAAGCTTCGCTCCTCCCGCCCGAGCGTCTTGTATGATAACATGAACGGCCCGGTTTCGCTCTCGCACCTCTGCTATTGTTTGTTTTGCAGACTACAGGACTCTCTTCGCGGACGCTCAGCCTTTTTTTCTCGTACAGTGTACCTACCGACTCCAGTGCTCAATTAGCGTGGAAGAGAGGTAGAGCCTCTGCCAAGATCTGGGACAGAGACTCATACTGCCCGACCTGTGCAATATATATACACTCACTCGTCCTCGGAGCTTATTCCAATGCTTGGCTGAGTTGGTACAAACGGCGAGCAGACAGTATTACCCTACCAGACAGTTCTTCCTGATCGTCATGTGATATTGTGTTGCAAGGAACGGACACTGATGGTGAAACGGTATCATGCTTGCCTTCCACTCTTGTCGATAGCAAGCGGCGTGGGTTCGACTCCCGCTCAGTGTATTTTGGTGTTTTGCCGTACGGCGCAACGATCGGGTGAGCTGGGAGTTTACACAATTAAAACGGAATATCCCCGTCGAAATAATTAATGTTGGACATTTGCAGCTGCAAGCCCACATTGTGCAGGACTATGACGGTTTGTCCGAGCTACGACTGTCTACCTCGATCTCCAAGGCATGCACCTCCTCCTTCAGGGCCTCCACTTCCTCCCTGCGTTTTGTCACCATCTGCTCCAGGCCGGAGCAGGCGGTCTCCGCGACGACGGCCACCCGCTCGTCCATTGAGCGGGCTAGCGCTCCCTAGCATCATAGCACGGAACCGGTGAGCATCATCCCAACGTAAGATCCATGAAGACTGACCTTCAGGTCCCTGTCAAGACCCTCCCCAACCCGCTCCCAGTCTTTCCACCACCGCTTCCTCGCTTTGTCCCAGCGCGCAACCGCCCACCGCACGCCGAGCGCAGCACCGAGCATCCCGGCCCCTAAGGCGGTTTCGGCGCCCATGCCCACGTTGACGAAACCCCCTGCAAGACCAAGCTCGCTGGCCCATCCTGCCCACGCCACGCCGAAGCCCCCAAGGACGCTTCCGCTCATGGTGATGACCGCGCGCTGTGCGGAGGCGTGCAGGCGCTCCGTGGGGATGCCAAGCTGGCTTTGGCGAGTATGCAATGGTGATGTCAGGACCGCCGCTGTGAGTGGATAGGATGGCGTGGCGACGATACGCTCGATACTGTTGTGCAGCACCGGTGAGTGGTATGGAGATGACGGAGGGAAGGAGCGACAGAGCGCCGTGGCAGAGTCTTTCAATGCGCCCTGCAGCGCAGCGAGTCGGCCTGCCTGGAAAACCAACTGTAGTGAAAGTAACAGGTCAGTCGCAGAGAACCGCCGCAACGAGCGTGAAACATGCCTTGCGCTCGAGATCTCTGCACCAGGCCCGGTCTACGGCGGCCGTGACAACTTCGCGTATGTCATCCACTCGCCAGAAGAGCTTGTACCATTGGAGCGCACCCATGGTCAGCTCGACGCTTTTCCGCGCCTGGCCGACCGCCTTCGCGATCTCGTCTCCGTTCTTGTCCGGCGTGCCGAAGACTTCGAGGCGGACCCTCGCCTTTGCCTCCTCCACTTGCCCTCGCAGACTGCTCGTTCCCGTGAGCACCGCGTCAGCTTCGAGCTCCGTGTGACGCAGCATATAGCGACAGGTCAGCAGAGCGTCCTGAATGACGGCCCGCCCGGTTTGGACGTGTACTGCAACGACGTCGGGGGACCCCGGCGGAGTGGCACTGTTCCCTCCAGCGCTGGCTATGACGTCTTTGACCGCGTGTGTGACGCTAGAGACGTTCGAGCCGATGACATCGTCCTGATAACGCTGTACAGCGACGGGCGAAGACGGGGCCCCAGCGAGTTGCTCGAGCCCGTGCAGTGCGCGTATGGGATCTACGAAAACGACTCGAAGACCTTTGTTCAACGCCAACGCTTGAATGCGAGGTACTTGCGCAGCGGTGGTTGGGTGTGTCGGCGAGGGGGAGGCGATAGCGACGATTGTGTGCTTGCGGGACACCGGCAGGGGTGGATTGGTCGAGGCGGGGAGTACGGATGACAGCGGAGTGGTTGTGGGGTTGCACAGTAGGATAGGAATGTCGGCAGTGAACAGGGCTTTGGCCGTCTCCAACGTAGAAGATGGCTTATACTCAGATACTTCTACTGGCACGCCAAAGTGCTGCAGCCAAGAGGACTGGACGTAGACGATGTCGCCTTCGGCGGATGCGGCACCGTACCTGAGCGGGTTGAATACCAGTCACCACAGGACTGTGGAAACGTACTCACTGTAGATGTATGGATCTGCTGCCCTCCGGTTGGGATTCCCATCGCGCGCGGAGGGCCACCTTCTGGCTCTCCGACACAAAAGGATCCTCGAGAAGCGCGGTGACCAGGTCCTTCGCGCTGCACTGTTCGTCGACGCCATATACTGCTCAAATGCTCAGTTTCTTTCACGCGGCGGCCGCTTGTAAACCTCAAGCCACGACGCTCACCAACGATTCGGACGGTATCCCTCTTCTTGTCCGGTGACAGAGACAAATCCTCATGCACCTTGTTCAAGACGTCCTCCCAAAATTTAAGCGAGACGCGTTGCGTGACACCGCCCGGACCTGGTCGGGCGCTGGGCAGGATCCGCGGAAGCAGGGCAGAGGTCTTGTGCAAGACGGTGAGGGCGTGCGCCCGCTGCGCTTCGTACTTTGACGGACGTGTTGTCGCCACGGTCGCAGTGGACAGTGCTGCTCGCCGCACACCCGGCGCCCTCCGACAGCCGGCGAATTTGCGCGAAGCGCATGTTGCGAGCTCGTGTAGGCCGGGGCTACTACGATGAGGATGGACAGAGGAGCGAAGCAAGCCTGAACCGGAGGCCAGACATGTCGGCATGGATGAGAGTCGGGGAGCATAGTGAGACGCGCCGGCTGCACGCGCTACTCGGCCCTCGCTCCGCTGCTCGAATTCATGCACCTCCGTCCACCCGCGCACCTCCGCGTATCCGTTTATGAAAAATCCACGATACCCGTAGACATTGATATATAGATACAAACATTAAGCGCCGATGCGCCAGTACAGCTAATGAATTATACCCCCGAAACCACGATTTTCGGTGGGGGTGGAGGAGGCGGGCCCGCCCGGCTGCGCGGATCGTCGTCGTCCTCGCTTTCGTCCCCGATGTCAAACAAGTCCTCGCGCTCGTCCCACACGTCCCCAATACGAACGGCCTTTTGCACGCCCGTGCCGCGACCAGGCTTCGAGCCCGCAGGCGTGTTCGGCGGCCGCGGCTCGTAGTGCAGAGGAAGCAATTGGGTGCCATCGATGTCGGAATCCTCATCGTCGTCGTCGTCTGACAGTGCGGAGGTGCCAAGGGGCTGGTAGAGGCGAGAGATCTATCGGAAAGGCATGAGCACATCTGCACCGTTGGGACTATGCACATAGACGTACTTCTCGTCGGTGTCTGTAGTAGCGTTCGAGGTGGTACGAGATGTATAAGCCGACCGATGAACCCAGCAAGTTAGCCTTGAAGCGAACACAAGATATCAGCCAAATAAACGCGCAGGTTAGAAAGGCAAGCCTTCTCACTGCGATGTCTCCCGCTTGGAATGTTTTGTACTGTGTGTGGTCCGTGTATCAGCGTCCGCGGCTCGCTGAGAAAGGCACCGCTGCGTACCGGCAGTAGCGACTGCACAATCTCGCTGATGACGCCTCCAAAGAAGAAACATGCGATCCCAGTGAATATCAGGGGGGCATTTCGCCAGAACCAGATGCGTCTTGCCTCCCTGCCAGTGGTTAGTGCGACATTGAGCGGGATGGTCGTCGCGGATGGCTGAGGCGCGACTTACTCCTCGACGTCGAATATGAAGAAGAACACCCCGGTAGCAATGCCCATGCAAAGAAAGTGCAGTACTTTGTCGTTCAGCGGGAGTGCGTGCGAGAAGTTCGTGAAGCCGAGCAAAGCTAGGCTGACTAGGATGAGGCAGGTGAAGACCACAAACCACTGTGTGTTACCGAGCGTGTCAAGGTGTAGCACGCATCAAGTTGAGGGTAGTCTTACCGGCCTTAGGCGTATAGGCATGTCATACTTTGGTATATGGAAGTGATGTGAGCGCATCATAGACTTGTTCAGCCTGCGGACCGCCTTTCGAGAGCGGCGGGCTGTGCGCGTCCATAGTGGATCGGAGTCAGGGTCCAAGGTGTCTGGTAACCTGGGCATTCGGCCAGAATATTCAAGAAGTGAGCCTCGACAAGAAAGACAGGAAGAACAGCTGGGAGGGAGGATACGGAGGCAAGGAGGTACTGGAGGAGGCGGTGGAGGGCGGGTGGCTGACGGAGATGGGACGCCTCGGGTTCGGCCAAGAGCATGACGCATAGCTATTACGCGGTTAAGCTTTCAGGTATAGAGCTGATTAGATTGTGACCTACTACTGGTCAACATTTCATGACAGATAAGAGTAACAGACCCAAACGAGCTTGTGATTGACCACTTGGACTCCGCGCGGAGAGCCATGAACTCCAGAGGACCTTCCTCGCGCTGGGCATCGTCTATCAACCTTGTTACACCCTGACGGTCTCTCACCACGCAATGTCCTCAGATGCAGTGGACCTGCAGACCGCTCTCGCCGATTTCTCGACCTGCGAGATCTCGGATGCGCTCATCAAGCTGGGCACACCTCACGGCGGGCACATCCCCGACATACAAATGCTGTCCCCCACCGACTCCACCATCCGTCTCTGCGGACCCGCGTACACCGTGGAAATGGTGCTGGGGTCAGACAAATCCGCCCCCAAGCTTTCTGCGCATTTCGTTGATACCGCGCCCGCTGACTCCGTAGTGGTGATCAACGCCCCCCATCGTTCGGTATCATCCCTCGACTGTCCGTAGTCCGCTGCTCACGCTAGGCTCCCATCACACGTCTGTATAGGTGTAAAGAACGCTGTGTGGGGTGGCTTGATGACCGCTGGCGCGCAGTCTCGCCGCGCTCGCGGAGTGATCATCTCCGGCCGCTGCAGGGACCTTGCCGAGCACCGTGCAGCCTCCTTTCCCGTGTTCGCAAGAGGCCACTCCACTCTCGGCCAGTCGCCTTTCACCCGCCCGTCGGCGGTGAACGTGCCCCTTACCATATCGCCGCCGGATGCAGCGGAAGAGGACTTTCCCGCGGTACAGGTATTTCCGGGGGACTGGATGATTGCGGACGAAGATGGCGTGGTCTGTGTGCCTGCGGCACTAGCGAAGGATGTCGTCGCCCTGGCTGTAAAGGGAAGAGAGGTAGACGAAAGGTGCATGCAGGATATCAAGGCGGGCAAAGGCGTACAGGAAACGTTCAAGAGGCACCGAGGGAAGTAAAGTCAAGCCTGTCCTAAAATGTAACGCTTGGTAGGACATGGTAAAGATCTTTTGCTTGTGATGCTGACTCTGTCCTCACCAATCACGATCTTCCAAGGCAAGTGAAGACAAGATGATTTCATGTAATATTA